TTAGGGTATAAACCCTAGTAGGCCCTCACTTAAGAGAAGTTTGTACTTGGCGTTAACGAAGCTTCACGTAGTGGACTTTGAGGCATAAGGTGAATCAGTGAAAGCTTTCGATCTGTTTTTTTGACTTGACACAGAGTGAGTGCGTAGGGTCCGCAAGAATTTGGGTTGAGTGAGAGAGGGGATATCCATGGCACATAGGGTATGCATATATAGAACAGAATACAGATATGAAGCGGCGTGTAAAGTGTTTGGGGTTGAAAGCCCCAAACCGTAAGCCCTAAACCCTAAGCCCTAACCCCTGAACCCTTGAGGGTTTAGGGCTGCAAAGCCATAAACCCTAAACCCTGAACCCTAAACCCCAAACCCTAAACCCTAAACCCTAAACCCTAAACCCTAAACCCTAAACTTCAAGGTCGAAGCTCACGTGCACCAATTCGGGGGCCCAGGCTGACAGAGGTCCTTTTAGGTCTCTGCGGTCCTTCGTCGCCTGACCCTCTTGGGGGGGGTTTAGGGTTTAGGGTTTAGGGTTTAGGGTTTAGGGTTTAGGGTTTAGGGTTTAGGGTTTAGGGATACTCAACCCCTCAGGAGCGCAGGGAAGGAAGTGTGGGTTGCTCCTTGCCGCCGCCCGGAGCCAGATCGTCTCGCACTACGGTGTGGCTGGAGCCGCACTTCCTCAACCCTGGTAAGGTATTGGGGGTTTAGGGTTTAGGGTTTAGGGTTTAGGGTTTAGGGTTTAGGGCTTAGGGTTTAGGGTTTAGGGTTTAGGGCTTGTGCAGGTTTGAGATTTTGGGGTTGATAGGGCTCAGGGTTTACGGGCCTTATCAAGGAGGAGCTTATTAACTTATGGCTTTACCAGCAAACGATGGGACTAGCTCAAAGGCCTATCCTACGTACGTTATATACACCTTAAAACCCTCAACCCTGCTCACACATAGTCGTTCTGCACGCATTCTTCTTGAAGCGTCTTCTCCTGCTTGACGAGCACCTGGTCGCTCCTGGGACGCCAGTGTTTTTCAGGACCCCAAACCCTAAACCCGAAACCCCGAAGCCCCGAAGCCCAAACCCCAAACCCTATACCCTAAACCCTATACCCTAAACCCTAAACCCTAAACCCTAAGCCCTAAACCCTAAACCCTAAACCCTAACCCTAAACCCTAAACCCTATCTTGAGGGACCTGAGGTTTTAGGGCTTGGGATCTGAAAAGCTCCCATAAACACCCGAGCGTATGGGGCTTTCATGTGCGGTCTCTAGGCACTTACAGGGCTTCGGGCTTTAGGGTTTAGGGTTTAGGGGCCTTCTCCAGTACAGGAAATCTGAGGGAGAACTGCTTAAGGCAGAAGCTCCGGCACTAGAGCCGCGCTTTGCAGAGGCTGCCAGAAGTCCCAAAACCCTCAACCCCACACCCCACAACCCCAAACCCTAAACCCCTACATGAGGGACCCCAACGGTAAACCCAAAACCCCAAACCCACCACCCGAAATCCTAAACCCCAAACCCAAACCAGGCCCTCTCCTGCGCCTTTTTCAAGACCCGCCTAAGCCCTAAACCCTAAACCCTAAACCCTAAACCCTAAACCCTAAACCCTAAACCCTAAACCCTAAACCCTAAACCCTAAACCCTAAACCCTAAAACCCTAAACCCTAACCCTAAACCCTAACCCCTAACCCCTAACCCCTAACCCCTAACCCCTAACCCCTAACCCTAAACCCTAAACCCTAAACCCTAAACCCTAAACCCTAAACCCAAAAAAACCCGCTGATTCATGCCCAAGTAGCGGGTTTAGGGCTTCTAGGGTTTAGCGCAGATCTTCCGTCCCCTCTTCTAGCACTTTCGCATTTTCTTCGCCGCCCACAACCCCCCCCCCTTCCCCGGCCCTCCGTCCGCAAGCAACACCGAATCAAAGGCAAGAGCCTAAGCCCTAAACCCTCAACCCCTAAGGCCCCAAATGCATGGTAGTTGGCCCTAGAATGTCCGAGAGAGCCCTCTCACTCTCATCGCACCACAAGAAGCGGCGGGCAGGTTTAAACTTTTGGGTATATTGCTTGGGTTAGGGGTTTTGGGTTTTGGGTTTTGGGCTTTGGGTTTAAAAATCCTAAACCGCCCAAAACCCCCTAAAACCCCCCAAACCCTGCCCACCCCTGGTCGCGCCAAGCGTCTCTTCAGAGAGCTTCCCGCAGCAGTTGTAGAGCCAAGACTCTGGGCCCTGCACAACTGGACTCTTTGAGGGTTTTAGGGCCTTTCCTAAACCCTGAACCCTAAACCCTAAACCCTAAACCCTAAACCCTAAACCCTAAACCCTAAACCCTAAAACCCTGACCCTCAACCCTAAACCCTAAACCTTGGGAGTAGGGGGGGGGGGGGGGGCTTTTGGGGCTTTTAAGGGTGAAAAGGCTTTAAAGGAGGGGGTTTAGGGTCTAGGGGTTCAGAGGTGTTGTTTGTGGGTTTAGGGTTTTTTGGGGTTTGAGGGCTAGGGCCCTGCACCCTAAACCCGAAGCCCTGGGGGGATAGGGTTTCGGGTTTGGGGTCGAGGGTTGACGGTTGATTGAGCCACTTGAACTTTGGGGCTTCGGGGGCTGCCTATGCGCCTGCACAGTAGAGAGTAAATAGGTAGCTGCTACTTTGCAAAAAAAAACTCAACTATACACCCCAGAACCCGAGACATTAGAAGATACTTGATGGCCCATCGAAGTTTCACAACAACTACTTCTAGACCCCCAAGGAATCTTAACAACCCTAATCCCTAAACTCAAAACTTTTAACCCCTAAAGGCCAGAATCCCCTGACTGAAGGCCCTGAGTCCCTAAACTGTGAACGAAAGGCCTCCATCTTCTTGCCAGAGCCGTCTCTCCTGTTGCGTACCCTAGACCGTAAACCCTATATAACCCCCAAACCCTAAACCCTAAACCCTAAAGCCTAAAGGCCAAACCCTAAACCCTAAACTGTCAGAGACCCCATCACTCGGGCGTTGCTACCTCGTTCTCTACGTGAGGGTTTACTTGATGACGGGACCGAAAACCCATGGGTTCCCCTACTAGCCCCCTCTTTGCTACTTCCCCTAGCTTCCCCTCATAATTAAGGTTATTGGGATTAAGGATATTTAAGGAGGGAACCTGCGGGGGGGGGGGGGGGGGGGGTAGTATAGAATGGGGGTAGAAAAAACACATGACAAACCCCACACCTACACCTTAAGCCTTACACCCTTGCACCTTAACCCTACCCAACGTTAGGCTCTTATAACCCTACAACTCTTAGCCCCAAAAGCAAACTCAAGTGAAGTCTCCTAAACCCTAAACCCTAAACCCCCAACCCTATACCCTACCAAGCCCCTTAGTGCGTGGGATATTTGAGCCCTGAGTTATGTAACATCCGAGAGTCTCATCCCTAAACCCTAAACCCTAACCCTAAGCTCAAAGTGACTAAGTGGGACAAAAGAATATATATGTATATGTATATATGTATATACATACTTTTTTTGATGTATTTATATTTGTGTATTTATTATTTTCTAAACTGTGTCGGGGTTATACAAGGCCATAAGATTAAGGGTCCCTTGTAGGGGTCACTCCTTGTAGCCCTTTACAAGCCCCAAAACCCTGAACCCCAACTAAAGCCAAAACCCTGACAAACAGCAAATCCTAACAAAACCCAAGCCTATACTTGACTTAGAAACAAAACAAAAGCATGATTTTTAATATTTCTCTTTTTCCATGAAGAAAAGACAATCCCTGGGGAACCCATGCTCTTAGGGTTTAGGGTTTAGGGTTTAGGGTTTAGGGGTGTACAAGAACAAAACAAAGCATGGTAACCCTAAACCCGAAACCCTAAACCCTAAACACCAAACCCCAAAATACAGAAGCCACGACCCTAAACCCTAAACGCCAAGCCCTAAACTACAAAAGCCACTACCCTAAACCTTAAAAACTTCAGAAGCCACTATAGGCCTAAACCCTAAACCCTGAACCCTGAACCCTAAACCCTAAACCCTAAACCCTAAACTACAGAAGCCACTAGGTCAGTCGAGGGTCAAATGCAAGCTCTCCGAGTCCAATCTGTGTGCCTGGCAAAAGGCTTTTTAAGCAGCGGGGGGGGGGGGGGAAGTCTGGCGCTATCTGGGTTTAGGGTTTAAGGTTTAGGGCTACTAACCAAGGAATAAAAGAATGCTAATCGTTAATGTTGATATTTCTAATGAATAGGGAAACTTAAACGAGTTTAATCGGGTTTACTGGTTTGGGTGGCTATGGCCAGGGTTTTACCTGGGAGGGCTCAAAGGGTTTAGGGTTAGAGTTTGGGGTTTAGGGGGTTCAGGGGTTTAGGGCTTTGGGGGATGTGGGTGTGCAGGGTTTCGGGGTTCGGGGTTGAGGGGTTTGGAGTTTATGTAGGGCTTCGGTGTAGGGGGATACCTCCCCAAACCCCAGATCCTATGCCTAAACCCAGCTACCAGAAGAGACTTCGACATGATATCCCTGAAATCATTTACGTATTCCTTAGATCGTCACAGGGATCCTCGCATTCATCAAGGGGCATTGCGGTCTCTCACCCTAAACCTAAACCCTACACCCTTCAATCCCTGCAGGGAACGCCGACAGAAGGTTGGAAATTAGGGTTTAGGGTTTAGGGTTTAGGGTTTAGGGTCTAGGGTTTGCAGCCCCAAAACCCGGAAGCAATGCTAAAAACATCTCAAGAACCCTCAGCAAGTCCTGTCCAGACCCTAAACTACGATTTGCTCAAGAAACTCACCCCAAAAAAGTACAAAAAGACAGTTAACAGTCCCTATATTGCCCTTCTAATTTAAGGAAGAAAATGCTATGTTTTTTTTTGCGAGGTTCTTGAGCAAATAGTAGTAGACGCAGAACCCTATGCCCACCCGCTAAATCCTAAACCCTAGACCCGACACCCTAAACCCTAAACCCCAAACCCTACTCCTACCTCAAAGAGGTCAAAGGCTAGATCCTAGAGCCTAAACCCTAAACCCCAAATCCTAAACCCCAAACCCTAAACCCTAAACCCTGAACCCCCCTCCTGCCTCAAAGAGGTCAAAAGGCATGAAGGGCGGCGTCAGGGTGCGCCAGCCGGGGAAGCCGAAAAAATGGATGGCCGGCACGGCGAAGGCGTTCCTTCGTGGGGGCGCCCCCCCCCCCCCCCCCCCCCTCTCAAGGGTTTAGGGTTTAGGGTTTAGGGCTTAGGGCCTAAACCCTAAACCCTAAACCCTAAACCCTAAACCCTAAACCCTACAACCCTACCCCCACATTCATCCACCCTAAGCCCTTGACATTATGGGGTGGGACTTCAGGGGCTTTGCTCTTAGAGCTCTGTAGGGCTGTGCATACGACGGACGAAGGGCGGCTTTAGGGGCTAAGGTGCTTAGGGGTTTTAGGCGTTTAGGGAGGTGCCAGAAACTCAAAACCTAAGACCCCAACCCTAAACCCTAAACCCTAAACCCTACAGGGAGCCCATGTAGCCGGCCTAAGAAGCTCCAGTGAGCCCAACAGCCCAAGCCCACTGCAACCCTAGAGCCCGAGAGCCCTAGAACCCTAGAACCCTGAGGACCCTAAGAACCCCTGCCCAAAGGACCCTTCCAGGGTTTTTGGTGAGAAAGTCGAGTGGTCCGAGCAGCGGATCACTGAACATGCTGCTGTTGTGGTCCATCTTGGCCTTTGGGAAACGTTGGGTTTGGGGGTTTAGGGTATAGGGTGTAGGGTTTGGGGTTTGGGGTTTGCGGCCCAGGCGACAGCGAAAAACTAAATTTTTATCGTATTTGAATGATTTCGGCTAAGCCCTAGAGAAGACGAGAACGAAACCAGATGCTCCTTGGGGTACTCCACGTCTGTGCCCAAAAGGGACCGTGAGGTAGGAAAGGATGCTTCCAGGACTCCGACGACAAGATACGATAACGGAACAAAGCGAGTAGAAATTATATTAAGTAGGATAGCACACATGAGGGAGTAGAACTCCACATCGCACCCTAAACCCTCAACCCTTATGAACCCTTAAACATAAACCCTAAACCCTAAACCCTAAACCCCTAACCCCTAAACCCTATACCCTAAACCCTAAACCCCACTTACGAAGTCTCGCGGTCCTCCAAGTAGGAGGGCCTTGGGATTTATGGCCGGTTTAGGTCTTGGATGTTCGGGGCTTCGAGGTTTAGGGTTTAGGGTTTAGGGTTTAGGGGTTAGGGTTTAGGGCTTAGGGCTAGGGATGTCTAGGTGCAAGCCTCATGGTTTATTGAGGCCTTGCGTAAGGCTTAAGGGCCTCAGGGCCTGTCAATCCCAACACCTGATGCTCCGCTTAGGCTTCAGGATTTTATGGTTTAGGGCTCAGGGTCAACACCCTACACCCTACACCCTACACCCTAAACCCTAAACCCTAAACCCTAAACCCTAAACCCTAAACCCTAAACCCTGCTGCCGGAGTGGCCGGCGTAACGAGCAACTTTCTTGAGCGGCAGAGGCTGAAAAGTGTCTTCGAGTGCTCCACGGGTATCCTGGGGTTTAGGGTTTAGGGTTTAGGGTTTAGGGTTTAGGGTTAAGGGTTTAGGGTTTACGGGTAAGGGCTTGCGGTCTGGGGTTTGGGTCTAACTTAGTGAGTTTGATAGGATGATCCCTACTTGGAGGTTCATGGTACTCATTTACCCAATCATATCTGTACCTATATTCCAGTTATAACCATGTTAGGGCACTTAAGGGGCTTAGAAGTGGGTTATAAGCACAGTTATAACTGGGTTATAAGTACCATGAACCTCCAAGTAGACCATAAACCCTTTAACTTTGCGGGAGGGTTGTGCGGGTTCGTCTGAAAGCCGCTTTGGCTCTTGGGAACTGGCTTGCAGGTTTGAGGTTTAGGGTTTCTGTGCAGTGCAGGCAGTGTCACAGGGCCCCACCCCAGTCTCCAACATGTGGGGGGGGGGTTTCCGAAATTTGGGGGGGGGGGGGGGGGGGGGGTGCCTTATACAGGTCCTTATTGTAAGGGAATCCTAAACTATTTGGGGGGACTATATTCGGGGCCCCCTATTTTCGCAATCCCCTTGTGGGTTTCGGTTTAGGCTACATGCAGCTTTGAGGGTGATCGTTTTAACGAAAAACCCTGCACCCTAATGGCCTACACTGCGCACCCTAAACCGCGGATTCGTTCGTGAGCCGTGGACAAAGGCTGGGGCAACGCCTTGAAAAGGGTTTCGGATTGGGGTTCCGGGTTTGGGGTTTGGGGTTTTAGGCTTAGGGCTTAACCTTGAACCTAAACCGCCTAAACCCTAAACCGCCTAAACCCTAAACCCTAAACCCGAAACCCTAAACTCTAAACCCTAAACCGTCTAAACCGTCTAAACCGTCTAAACCGTCTAAACCCTAAACCCTAAACCCGAAACCCTAAACCCTAAACCCTAAACCGTTCAAGGGTCTCGGAGCTTTCGGCTTACTAGGGGTTGGAGGGAGCTTGGACGAAGGTAAGCTTGGCCCGAAGGCCCCAACCATGTTTTGAAGAGGCCCTGGAAGCCTGGCCCTATTCTGCGGCCTAGGGTTTAGGGTTTAGGGTTTAGGGTTCAGGGTTTAGGGTTTAGGGTTCAGGGTTCAGGGTTTAGGGTTTAGGGTCTTGGGGCTTTTACTCCGAGCTTCTTGGAGATGGAAACTTCTTTAAAGCATCGACTCCCTTGTGACAAAAAGGGCTCCTCGGAAACCTCAAAACCCTAAACCCTAAACCCTAAACCCCAAACCCTAAACCCTAAACCCCAATGTAAATCACCCGCCCCTTTTGTGGACGAGGTGTCAGGCTATCGCTGGCGCCGTGGATAAAGAGCACCGGGCAGGAGACATTGACAATCCTGTGGGAGATACTATCCCGCCTAGAGCATAGATTAGGGTTTAGCGCTTAGGGTTTGGGGTTTAGGGTTTAGGGTTTAGGGTTAGGGTTTAGGGTTTCCGGTTTCGGGATTGTGGGTTCAGGCTTTGGGGCTTGTGGTCCGAAACCGATGGTTTAGAGACCCCTACACACGAGAAGATAGCCGAACCCTGAGCCCTACGCCTAAACCCTAAACCCTAAACCCTAAACCCTAAACCCTAAACCCCCCGAAGCCAACCCGATGCCTGAAACCCCAAGACCCAAAAGGTTCAAAGGTCAGGGCGTTCCATTCGGGTTTAGGGCAGGTCCATAAGGAACCAGGGCTTAAGGCCTGATGGGAAGAGAATTCGGGCCTATGCCCCCAACCCCAAACGCCCTAAAGGTTTTGGTATCAACCCTCAACCCTAAAACCCTGAACCCCAAACACTAAAGCCCAACCACACAAAGGCTGAATTGAGGGCTACTTGGGGCAGCTTAGGAGAGTATGGGCTGCTAGGAACCTAAACCCTGAAGCCCTTGACCAAATACCCACTGCGAGCCTAAACGCCCCTACAGCCCAGCGAATCTAGGGTTGAGGTCCCGGGCTTGGGGTGTGGGGTTTAGGGTTCTAAACCCTAAACCCTAAACCCTAAACCCTAAACCCTAAACCCTAAACCCTAAACCCTAGGGAGGCCTCTTGTGGTTCTGAAAGACGTTGCTGAACATGAAGGCCACTATTCTGCCGCCGATGTGTTTGGCTGCAGCGCGGATGGAGATGAAGGGTGACACCAGTATCATGCCCCCAAGGGGATACCTCGGCTGTGGGTTTAGGGTTTAGGGTTTAGTATTTAGGGTTTAGGGTTTAGGATTTAGGGTTTAGGGTTTAGGGCTTGGGGTTTAGGGCTCTATGGGGAGACCACGGTTGCGCACTCAAACCTAGATAATTGTGGCTTGGGGCTCCTCATTCAACCTCTCTACGAAGCCCTAAACCCTAAACCGCGAAACCAAATTTGGGCCTTAGGAAGTAACCCTGAACCCTAAACCCTAAACCCTGAACCCTGAACCCTAAACCCTAAACCCTAAACCCTGAACCCTAAACCCTAAACCCTAAACCCTAAACCCTAAACCCTAAACCCTAAACCCCAAACCCCAAAGAGTACAAAGCCACTTTCGGGATGCTGCCGAGGAGCTGTGATGCCAAAAAGATCGCCGGCCCACTCCCCAAGGATCTTCCAAAGACCTTTTTATCGGTTTAGGGTTTAGGGTTTAGGGTTTAGGGTTCAGGGTTAAGGGCTTAGGGGTTGCCAGGGTGACCCTGTAAACCCTAACGCCTAAGCCGCGCAGCCTTGTGGGCTTAAGTGGGTGTAAGGCATACGGTCTAGGGTGCGGGCTTCATTTCATGGCTTTTGGGCTGCTGAAGGCTCCACGGTTTCGGGGTTTATGCGTTCATGGTTCACTTGCCTTTCTTGGAGGTTCATGGTACTTATATAACACAGTTCGGCTAAGTTGAAACTGCACTTATAACCCACTTATAAGCCCCTAAGTGCCCTAACATTTATTTAAGCACAGTGAAAGGTGGGTTAATATGAAGGTCTCTCATCCTGCATACACAACTCCGAAACCACAAGCTGTACTTAAATAATATCGGCCTCTGCGGACTTGAGCCCGAAACGACGTGGAGCGGGGGACTGAATAGCAAGGGCCAAGGTTTGGGGTTTAGGGCAGCTAGGTATAGGGCCTACTTGGAGGTTCATGGTACCTATTAACCAATTATAACTGTACTTATAACTATACACATAGTAGGGCACTTAAGAGGCTTATAAGTACAGTTATAAGTACAGGTTCCCTAAACCCTAAACCCTAAACCCTAAACCCTAAACCCTAAACCCTAAACCCTAAACCCTAAACCCTAAACCCTAAACCCTAAACCCTAAACCCTAAACCCTAAACCCTAAACCCTAAACCCTAAGCCCAGTTCAAGCCCAGGTGCTATGACAGAAGAATAGCTGACTCGCAAGTCGTCCACGAGGTATCTGAAGACCGTCAGCGCCACTTCGAAGATGGTCTAGGTCAGAGGTTTAGGGTTTAGGGTTTAGGGTTTAGGGTTTAGGGTTTAGGGTTTAGGGTTTAGGGTTTAGGGCTTCAGGGCTTAGGGTTCAGGGTTTAGGGCTTCAGGGCTTAGGGTTTAGCCCTCAACTGCCTCCTCATTGGGCTCGATGCCCTGTAAGAGTCCATATCCGGGGTACTCCACAGCGATGACGTTTACCTGTCAGTGCAACTAGGTTGGGATTGGGGCTTAGGGTTTATTGCCCTTAGAACCATGAGTAATTGTTGTGCTCTTGGGTTCTGCGCTAATCCTAAACCCTACACGATTGTGCATATGCAATAAAGTGTAACATACGTCCTGGAAGAAGCCTTTGGCAAGCGTTCGGAGTGCAGATCTAGGGAGTAGCTGCAGAGTTTAGGGTTGAGGAGTCTAGGGCATTTAGGGCTGAGGAGTCTTACGGGGCTTGAGGTCTAGGAGTTTCGAGCCCAGGGCGTGCCTACATTCTGGTCCCGTGATTTCTGAGCCGTAAGCTGACCCCTCGCCCTAGAACAGCAGCGGACTGGGGCCGGTAAGCTGAATGTTTCTATGAGCCCTAGATTGGATCTCTGGTAACTCCCAACGCAACAGGCTAAGTAAGCCCTGCTACCTGTTGGCCACCTGCCACAATTCAGGTCTTGGGGTTCAAAAAAGGTAGGCTTTGCTCGTTAGCTCAAGGGACTAAAGGAGGGACCCTTATAAGGGACCTTAGGGGTTTTTTAGGGGGTTCTTTGGGGGCCACTTCGGTATATAGGGACTATATAACTTATATACAGGGGTGTATAGGGGAAAAAGATTGAGGGTCCCTTCTAGGCGTCCCTCCTTTTACCCCTGAATAAGCCCAATGTGGGGAGATAAGCCCAGAGCCCTTTCCGAAGATCCTCAACGCCTCACGGGCCTTAAACTGATCTCGCATGTGCTTTACGAAATGGAAGGCCGTGCCAATGTCCTCGGAGTTGGCGTGGAAGTACCTTGCATTCGAATCTCACACTCTGAGCTCCGAACTTTAAAGGGTTTAGGGTTTAAAAGGTAGAAGGGTTAAGGGTTATATAAGGGTTAAGGGTTATATAAGGGTTTAGGGTTTCAAAGGTATAAGGGTTCAGGGTTATATAAGGGTTTAGGGATAAAAAGATATAAGGGTTAAGGGTTAAGGGTTATATAAGGGTTAAGGGTTAAGGGTTTAGGGGTTTGGAATGAGCCCAAACCCTAAACGGCCCTAAGCCCTTCCCTAAGCCCGAGAAACACCTAAACCCCCAACAACCTCTAAGCTGCCCTAAGAACACCCTAAACCCTAAGCCCTAAACCCTAAGCCCTAAACCCTAAACCCTAAACCCTAAGCCCTAAGCCCTAAGCTCTAAACCCTAAACCCTAAACCCTAAACCCTAAACCCTAAACTCCCCACACCCCTGCGCAACAGCGCCAGGGGCGCATCACGACCGAGGCGGCTTTCGGCGCCGGAAACCAGAGGCACGGCACGCCCCCGGTCCGGCCTGGAGATCAGAGTTTAGGGGGTAGCCCTAAACCCTAGCCCTAAACCCTAGCCCTAAACCCTAAACCCTAAACCCTAAACCCTAAACCGTAAACCGTAAGCCGCAAACCGTAAACCCTAAACCCTAACCCTAAGCCCTAAAACCGGGCAATGGTCGCACAATCTTGGACACGGAAACACAAGACTCGGAAGGGTTTTAGGATTCAAGGTTTAGGGTGGGCCCTTAACCCTAAACCCTAAACCCTAAACCCTAAACCCTAAACCCTAAACCCTAAACCCTAAACCCTAAACCCTAAACCCTAAACCCTAAACCCTAAACCCTAAACCGCCGTTAGGGTTTAGGGTTTGGGGTTGAGGGTTTAGGCATGATAGGGCTTGTAGGGCTTCCAGGGTTTATACGGTTTACAGGCTTTGCAGAGGGTTTATGGCTTGTAAGGTATGCAGGGTTTTATAGGCTTTGCAGGGTCTGATGGGGCTTATCAGGGTTTATGGGGTTGGTAGGGTTTAGGACTTCCCGTACACCCTAAACCCTAAACCCTCAACCCTAAACCCGAAACCCGAAACCCTAAACCCTAAACCCTAAACCCTAAACCCTAAACCCTAAACCCTAAACCCTAAACCCTAAACCCTAAACCCTAAACCCTAAACCCTAGCAGCAAGCAGCAAGCAGCCATGCTGGGCCTGGCGAAATCATCGGATTCCATGGAATCGTGCCTTCGTGGGGCTGCTGCGGTGTTCGGGTTTAGGGTTTAGGGTTTAGGGTTTAGGGTTTAGGGTTTAGGGTTTAGGGTTTAGGGTTTAGGGTTTAGGGTTTAGGGTTTAGGGTTTAGGGTTTAGGGTTTAGGGTTCAGCAGCTCCGGATCGAGCAATTTTGAAATAAAGATATATTTGCGGCTCTGATACAACACTCACCCACCCAAAGAATCCCATAGCATTCAGAAAGCAAACATCGAAGTGTCTCGCATCATCTCAGCTTCAAAGGCTTATGCTTGAAACGAACGGACACGACAAAAACAAATAATTCAGTTCATCTCATTTTCTTGCCACTGCATCTCTTGCGCGCTGCATCAGCCTTGAAGTGAACGGACACAAAAAACAATCACAATCTTGCTAACCTCGTTGCTTTGAACTTGCTTGAGAGGAGCCGATCTGTTGCGAAGCTTATCTGGTCCTTTATTGGGTGGGGCTTGGCTGAAATAAACCCTAAACCCTAAACCCTAAACCCTAAACCCTAAACCCTAAACCCTAAACCCTAAACCCTAAACCCTAAACCGACCTGACCCCAGGCCTTGAGGCCCTCAAACCGTAAAATTGGCCCGGCCTCAAGGCCTGAGGCCCTGGAACACTGCACCAGGCCAGGAGCCCCGAACCAAACCCTAGGTTTAGGGTTTAGGGTTTAGGGTTTAGGGTTTAGGGTTTAGGGTTTAGGGTTTAGGGTTTAGGGTTTAGGGTTTAGGGTTTAGGGTTTAGGGTTTAGGGTGAGAAAATGAACCCTAAACGCCTGGAGGCCCTGAAACCATAAACCCCAGGCCTGCAGGCCCTGAAACCCTAAACTCCAGGCCTTGAGGCCTGAAACCCTAAAACCCAGGCCTTGAGGCCTTGAAACCCTGAACCACGAAAAAATGCCTTGAACCACGGAAAAAGTGCCTTACCGCGCAAAAACTTGCCTTGAACCACGAACGATTCGGCGGTTCAAGGCAAATTGTTCGTAGTTCAAAGCCATTTTTCGTGGCTCAAGGCAATTTTGTCGTGGTCCAAGGCAATTTGTTCGTGGTTCAAGGCCAAACGCGACCATTTGACTTGAACCCAGAAAAATATGCCTTGAACCACGAGAACTGGCCTTGAGCCACGACAAGTTGACTTGAACCACGAAAAATCGCCTTGAACCACGAACTCATTAAGGTTTGAACTTTTTTTGATAAGAGAGGTTTCGGGTTCAGGGTTCAGGGTTCAGGGCCTTAGGGTAGAGGGATTCAGGGATTCAGGGCTGTAGGCGAAAATATATGAGGTTTTAAGCGCTTGAAGGCCACCCTGACCCTTAAACCCCTGCAACCAACTCACCCCAAAAGCGAGATGTTGCCCCCGAAAGCCCTACTAAATCCCTAACCCCCCTAGTCCGAAATGCTAAATCCCTAAACCCAAAACCCCACAGTCCAGTGGCAAAGATTTCTGGGAAAGGACGTCTTGCTGTAGGAGGCCCTGGGCGCCTGCGCAGGAGTGGCAAGGTTTTGGGCTTTCGGGTTTCTCGGGCTTAAAACCTTTCATGCACTGCACCAAGCTACCTTAGAATATAGTCTCTAACCGTGCCAGGGTTGTGGGTGTTGGTGTGTGGGTGTGGGGGTGTGGGGGTGTGGGGGTGTGGGGGTGTGTGGGTGTGGGGGTGTGGGTGTGGGGGTGTGGGTGTGGGGGGGTGTGGGGGTGTGGGGGTGTGGGGGTGTGGGGGTGTGGGGGTGTGGGGGTGTGGGGGTGTGGGGGTGTGGGGGTGTCGGGGTGTGGGGGTGTGGGGGTGTGGGGAGTTGGGGGTTTAGGGTTTGGGGTGTGGGGTTTAAGGCCTGCGAGAAAGTGCTGCCAGGCCTGCGATCTAGACTCTCAGCCAAGAGCCAGCACCAAACAGCTGCTGCATCCCCGATAGCCGAACAAAACCCTGAACCCGGAATCCAAGTTGTTGACCATCCGGAACTCTATAAACTCTACCTCCGCAACTTCCCAAACCCCTAAACCCCAAACCCTACACCCTGAAACCCTACAAAACCCCAAAACCCTGGACTCTCAACCCTAACAACCCCAAACCCCAAACCCCAAACCCCAAACCCTAAACCCTAAACCCTAAACCCTAAACCCTAAACCCTAAACCCTAAACCGCCTAAACCGCCTAAACCCTAAGCCCAAAGCCAAGTTTGGGGGCCTCTGCCCTACATCCCTACAAACCCTGCCCCTAAACCCTAAACCCTCAGCCCTAACCCCCCCTAAACCCCAAACACATGAGTTCCCTTACTACCCACCAACCATTCTACCCCCACTACATTCCCCCCTTAAATAACCTGAATTAGGCTTGACTATCCCTAAATAGCCGTAATTTCTGGAGGGGGAGATGGGGGGAGGGGGGTGTAGCATAGAGGGGGGGGAGCTAGGGGAACCCATGATAAACCCTATACCCTAAACCATAAACCCTAAACCCGGAAACCCGAAAGCCTAAACCCTAAGCCTGGAAGATGATCGGGTTGAACATCGCCCCTCGGCGCCGGCGGAAACTCCGGCACAGCCGGTGTCCGCCGGCCTGCAAGGGTGTAGGGTTTAGGATGTAGGGTTTAGGGTTTAAGGTTTAGGGTTAGGGTTTAGGGTTTAGGGTTTAGGGTTTAGGGTTTAGGGTTTAGGGTTTAGGGTTTAGGGTTTAGGGTTTAGGGTTTAGGGTTTAGGGTTGAGGGTTGAGGGTTGAGGGTTGAGGGTTGAGGGTTGAGGGTTGAGGGTTGAGGGGTGAGGGTTGAGGGTTGAGGGTTGAGGGTTGAGGGTTGAGGGTTGAGGGTTGAGGGTTGAGGGTTGAGGGTTGAGGGTTGAGGGTTGAGGGTTGAGGGTTGAGGGTTGAGGGTTAGGGCCCAGGGCTGAGGGATCCTAATCGAGGGTTTATCTCAACCATCGCAGCATCTGCGCCAAATGACAGCAAACCCTGACCCCTAAGCCCCCTAAACCCTAAACCCTAAATCCTGAACCCTAAACCCTAAACCCTAAACCCTAAACCCTAAACCCTACTCCCCCCCCCCCCCCCCCCTCCCCCCCGAAGAAGAAAACAAACTCGAACCCGAGCCAGTCTTTGCCTTCTGCTACAGCGACTCGGGTGTCGTTGGCCAAGACTTTGACCTCCGGGAGCTGAGTTTCGGGTTTAGGGTTTAGGGTTTAGGGTTTAGGGTTTAGGGTTTAGGGTTTAGGGTTTAGGGTTTAGGGTTTAGGGTTTAGGGTTTAGGGTTTAAGGATCCTACTTGAGGGTTTTAAGGTTTAGGCTTTAGGGTATAGGGTTTAGGGGTTGCTTGGGTGCGAGCTGGAATTGGAGTTGATTTGGGCTTTTTTGCTCGGGGGAGGCGTGACACCTCTACCATGTGGAGGCCCCCGAAAAATGCAGGGTTTAGGGTTTAGGGTTTAGGATTTAGGGTTTAGGGTTTAGGGTTAGACCCTAAGCCCTAAATCCTAAAACCCGCAAAAGGCAAAAAAGGAGGGTCAAAATGGTCGAAGATCTTGCTGGCGTGCGCCCGAGGATGCCTATACCCACATCATCTACTCAACGAAGACTGGAGGTTTGGGCATAAGGTTCGGGGTTTTATGGTTGAAGGTGACTCTACTCGCAGGTTTTGTGCTTTCGGGTCCGAGTGAGACCGACAGACAGAGAGAGAGAGAGAGAGAGAGAGAGAGAGAGAGCGGTGGGGCGGGGAGGGAGCAGACTTCATTATTTCGCATCACCAGACCTACAGGGTCAGAGTTGTCAGTGTTCCCTCACCCACAAGTACCACAAAGCCTTCGAACCACACGGCCTGCCAGAAAAGTCCAGAAACCCTAAAAGCCTGAACTGCAACCGTACTCCCTGAACCCTTAGCCCTCAGAGCCCCAAACCCTAGATCCTCAAACCCTTAACCCCGTTCCTTTGATGCCTACCACCAGGAACCCTGAAACCCAGCTGAAACCCTCATGCGAGGTCCCTTTCAGTCTTTAAGCCCCCTAAACCTCAACATTCCATGGTATGTGCTGTAATCAAACTCTCTCAACTCAAAAAGCCTTACAGTCCAAATCCAACAAAACTTGACATCAGCCCTAACACCCCCCCCACCACCCGACCCCAACCCCCCACATTCCTGGCTTTCGGGGTCTGGCGTTTAGGGCTTGGGGTTTAGGGTACCCTAAACCCTAAACCCTAAACCCTAAACCCTAAACCCTAAACCCTAAACCCTAAACCCTTAACCCTTAACCCTAAACCCTAAACCCTAATTAATTTTTAAACCCCCACGACTGGAATCTGCCCAGGGGCGTCTTCGTCCAAGTGGGGCTCGGCTCCCAGGTCCGGGCCGGTCCATCGTTGAGCCACGCTGGGTTTAGGGTTTAGGGTTTAGGGTTTAGGGTTTAGGGTTTAGGGTTTAGGGTTTAGGGTTTAGGGTTTAGGGTTTAGGGTTTAGGGTTTAGGGTTTAGGGTTTAGGGTTTAGGGTTTAGGGTTTAGGGTTTAGGGTTTAGGGTTTAGGGTTTAGGGTTTAGGGTTCGGGTATGGCTTGGGATGGTTTGGGGTTGTCTAAGGGTTTAGTGCTTTAGGGGTTGATGAGGCAATCTAGGGGACTAAGTATATGGCTTAGGAATCTTTAAGGATGTAGGGTTCGCGGCTTGTTGGGCGTAGGGCTTGAGGGCTATGCTTTGGCATTTAGGCTCCTAGGGGCACTAGGAGTTCAGGTCACGGCTCAGGGTATAAGGTTTATAATGTTTATAGGGTATGGAGTTTATAGGTTTAGGGTTTCTAAGGTTCAGGTCGGGGTTACAGGGTTGAGGGCCTGAAGGCTTTAGCCATCTTTGGCCTGGTTTTGAACAGGATTTAGGGTTTGGGGTTTGGGGTTTAGGGTTTGGGGTTTGAGGTTTGGGGTTTAGGGTTTAGGGTTTAGGGTTTAGGGTTTAGGGTTTAGGGTTTAGGGTTTGGGGGTCACTCCGAGTTCAGCTTTAGCCTCCGCGTCGTCGGCCGAGGCCTCCTGGCTGACGGAGTCGTTGCCTGAGGGTTTAGGGTTTAGGGTTTAGGGTTTAGGGTTTGGGGTTTAGAGTTTAGGGTTTAGGGTTTAGGGTTTTAGGGTTTAGGGTTTACAACCCTAAAGTTTAGGGTTTAGGCTTTATGCTTTAGGGTTCCCCTACTACTTCGAGGTTCATGGTACTTATTAACCAGTTCTAACTGTACTTATAACCGACTTAGAAGCCCCTTAAGTGCCCTAATATGGTCATAAGTACAGTTACAACTGGTTAATAAGTACCATGAACCTCCAAGTACCCCCCCCCCCCCGCTGCTGTATACTGAACTTGGCACCTTAGCAAAAAGTAAAATTTCAGCTGTTCCTTAGGGATGAGAGTGACCAAAAACTAACAAATATTTCCAAGTACCCCTAAGCCTATACTTACCCCCCCTGGGTTCCTCCTTCCCCAAACAACCTTAACCAGGCTTCATTGTCCCTAAGTAGCCTTAATTATGCGGGGGGAACTTGAGTATAGAGGGGGGTAGTAGGGAAAGCCAGAGGTCGAGGCTTGGTACCCAAAAAGCCCAATACCCCTTCACTAAGGAAAAAATGCCTTAAATCATATGAAGCAGGGTATATGTTTCTTGTACCCCCAAAGGACACCAGGTATATACACTCACCTATACTAAAAAGGAACCTTATATACACTCACCAAAAACAGTCATATAAACCCTGCTTCATATGAAGGATTTTCTAGAGGTACTTTAGGGTATCTTCCTTAATCAACGGGGGTATTGGGCTGTCTGGGTAGGGTTGAGGCCTCTGCCTTGGACGTTTAGGGTTTGGGGCTTAGGGTTCCGGGCCTTGAGCTTATGTTCTACTTGGGCGGCCCAAACAGCCCATAGAACTTACAGGGTTAAGGGTTTAGGGTTTAGGGTTTAGGGTTTAGGGTTTAGGGTTTAAGTCTGTCACTGCGGTTGAGGGTTTAGGGTTTAGGGTTGCGCAATAAGACTTTTCTTTGAAGCTTGCCTGAACCCATGCACCCTCATGCTTCAATTCAAAAACCCTAAGCCCTGGAGAAAGGGAAATCCTAAACCCTAAGCCCTAAACCCCTGAACTCCCTACAGCCTCTAAAGCCTCTAAACCCTCTCTAAACCCTCTCTAACCCCCCTCTAAACCCTCTCTAAACCCTCTCTAACCCCCCTCTAAACCCTAAACCCCAAACCCTAAACCCCAAACCCTAAACCCCAAACCCCAAACCCCCAAAGAGTCTCCGGGTGCCCTGGCCAATCACATGCCGAAGCAGGGAGTGGAGCGCCCTGAGGGCAGCGCGCAGGCGGGGGTGTCGATGCCCGTGTCAAGGGTTTAGGGTGTAGGGATTGGGGTTTAGGGTTTAGGGTTTAGGGCTTAGGGCTTAGGGCTTAGGGTTTAGGGTTTAAGATTCAGGGGTTAAGGCTTAGGGCTTAGGATTTAGGGGTTTGGGGGTCAAGTGTTTTGGGGGTTAGAGCCGTCAACCACCAAATCCAACAAACCCTAAAACCCGAAGCCTCGTCACATGGACACAAGAGTACAGACAGCTAAGTAAAAAACAAAGCCGCATAAGGTCCTAGCCCAGATACATCCGACAACAATCTAAACCACATCCTCACCGCAAGCGCCCTAAACGCTAATCCCCAAACACTTGCACTAAACCCTCAACCCTCAACCCTCAACCCTCAACCCTCAACCCTCAACCCTAAACCCTAAACCCTCAACCCTCAACCCTCAACCCTCAATCCTCAACCTTACACAGCCCATCACAGCCCCAGACCATAAGCCCTAAACCCCTGCGCCCTAAAACGGGTCTGAAACCTATAAGCACTAACCCTAAACCCTAAACCCTAAACCCCTAACCCCTAACCCCTAAACCCTAAACCCTAAACCCTAAACCCTCACACAAGCATCCCCTTCCGGCTGAGGCCACTGACTCCGCGGCGGCCAGGCGCGAACCGCGGCGGGTGCCGCGGCCAAGGAGCCGAGCCTTTAAGGGGGATTAAGTTTAGGGTTTAGGGTTTAGGGTTTAGGGTTTAGGGTTTAGGGTTTAGGGTTTAGCGTTTAGGGCTTAGGGTTCAGGGTTCAGGGTTGAGGGTCTAGGGCTGAAGTGGCTATGCACATCTTCTGGTAGCGTGGCACAAACACAACGAATTCTTCCAGTGTGTCGGCCATCTTGTATGCATGCGTGCCAAGGGCATATTTGCGATGGGAATAGCTTTAAAAAAAAAACTCCTGCCAGCAGAAAGAAGTTTCCAGGGCAGGTTTAGGGTTTGGGGGGACTTAGGGTTTAAGGGTTGAAGGGGTTTTAGGGCTTCGGGGTCGGTGGTGCAGGGAAGAGAATAAGCGTTGGTGTTTGGGATCAGGGGGATGAGGGTCTGAGCCGGGTAGGGGCAGAGCTGCGGCTTTTTTAGGATTGAGACTTCATCAAGTCTGGGATTTTTGCCATTTCGGGGCCGGGGGTTTAGGGTTTAGGGTTTAGGGTTTTCGCTAAAAACTGCTTAGGCTTGGTTT